ACATAATCAAGGGGAGGTTAGGACAGAATCACTCTGCAACAAGGCTCTGGATCACAAATAGCTCCACCGAGGTACGAGTTGACGAGGTGGGATGAATGGGCCAACGGATCAGGCTGCAAACAAGCAGCTGGTTATTTATTGGTCCCTGAGCAGAGAGGAGTAGGTAGCAGCTGCCTCGATCGAGTGGCAGAGAAGAGAAAGACTGCTCGGCATATCACTGAAGTTAGTATCTTTGGGTTTTGCGAGGACTATTAGGCCTCTTCAATGATATTTTTTAAAAATACAAAACATTCCAAAAGTTTTTTCTGGAGCGGTTGGGCGCCAAGAAATTTCTGCATCAGCAAGTTTAGAGACATATGGTGGTAGAGGTGAGGTAGGGACGGATGACCATCTCATGTTTATTCAAGGATTCAAATCCTGATCCGATAAACGCCTTCCCATAACCTAGGGTCGGCAAACTGGTGCCATATTCGTATGGGAGGCACAGACTCCGTCTCTTATCTCTGCTGACTCCAATAAATCATAGCGCGAGCTAATCACGTATTCAAACTTCACTAAAATTCTGAATGGAAGTCGAATATGTTAAAAGCAGGATTGGTCAACGTCAGGAAACTTTATTCGCAACCTCTTACAGTAAAACAAGAAAACCTAGTGACTATGGTCCACTTACCAGTTCGATTTAATGTGAACTAAAGAGAACAAATTGGAATTTACTATTGCCACACTCGGTTTCAAACAAACAATCACTACGTGAGCAGCTTTCCCCATTTCTCGTCTGATAAGAAACGTGGGAGCTAATTTTTCCCTATCACTGGCCCATCATATTGAACATTAAGGTGACTGACTGGTGTCTGCAGGGTTGTAGGGACTAGTAACTGGGTCAGCATCGACTTGAAATCGCAGTTCCCTCGCTCTGTTCCTGTACGATGAAAAACCTAAGACGGCTCTGGACAGGAGGATCTTGTTGGAACACGACAGCTGTGTAAAGGAGGAGTGATCGCTGACTGTTCTTTGGTATTTGAAGGCTAAAGCTCACCACAACGAAAAAGAGAAAACTATTTCGAATTTTGGATTGAGTTTTTTGGAAAGAACGACAAACTAATAGCACAAAATTGAACACTCCACGTTTTGGTAATCGGCCAGAACTTGCAAACCTGACAGTTTTGCTAAATGTTTGCGGTCTACCCCGGTTCCAGTATTTTTTGTGTTATTGCAGTGGATGCAACACGACACTAAGAGCCATGTTCAGTTATGTAGATATTCTGCCAAAAACTTTACTAGTAAACACCGTAGAAGTGGTAGTTTGGGTCAGGCATGTGTACCTTCGATGATGTGGGACGACGACGATGAACTCGCCGAGAGAGTGAAGAGTTCAGTTATTACTGTCACTGCGAAGAAAGCACTGTAACCCAGACTTCAAACGCGGGAGGGGACGGAAGTTTGGGCAGTATTAGTAGTCTCTCTGTCCCTTCCAAGCTGAAACAAAGGTCCGATCGAAGAAATTCGTCTTGAGAAAGAAGTTTAGATGACTTTGCCTGTCCATTCGTCTTCTCGGAAGTCGTCGCTTTTGAAAATGCTGAAAAAAATAGAGTAAATTTATGGAAAGAAAAGCCGCTTGGGGACCATATCTGAGGAGGGAATCACCAAAGCAAAGGAGGTGGGTACAGGGGGGAGTAGGATGGGGAAGAGTCATAGTCGTAAACACCGATTTTCCACGACGCTATGCTTGATTCCGACCACCAAAACCAAAGAAAATCTCCAATGAAACAGCATGTAGTTTCTCCAACTTGTGGGAGCAAAGTCCTTGATTTAGTCCTCACTAATAGCGGAAACTTTATCACCATGCCTAAACTACTTAATCCTCTGGGCAGCTCTGACCATTCTATTATTTCGTTTTCATTATTTTTGTTGCAAGCCTTTGATCCCGCACCTACTTCTTTCCTTGATTTCGCACGGGCTGATTATAATTCCATGAAACGCTACCTTTCTGAAGTCAACTGGGAGCTATTGTTCGATAACTACAGCGACGTTGATGACCTGTATCGACGCTTTTGTGGTACAATCACTTTTGTGATTTGTTATCACGTACCAATCACTGTCAAACGCCTTAATAGGACTCTCAACTTCCCTACATATATTCAAAATTTGATGCTATATCGAAATACACTTTTCCATCTTCTAAATGAAAAAGGTATCAAAGAGCGGTACGACAGGGTTTCACAGAAATTGACCAAGCTTAAAGAAAAATATGTAAGAAATCGTGGAAAGTTTTACTGTCTTCCAAAAATAGTAGACAACTCTACCAGTCCGTCAACTCTCGATTGAAGGCGCCTTGCTCAATTCCAGCTTTTGTCAATGACGAAGGTGATATCGTCTGCAGTGATTCTGAAAAGGCCGAACTTCTCGCTGATCATTTTTTCTCTGTTTTTACTGTGGATAATGGTATCATCCCCGACATGAAAAGCGGTTCCAAGCATTTATTAAGCTCCTTTTTGATACTACCACAAACGTTCTGTTACATGCCAAAAGGCTTAAGACTTCTTGCTCGCAAACTCCCGATGGTATTCCTCAGATCCGAAATTGTGCTAATGAACTTGCTGTACCTTTAGCACATATATTCAACATTTCCTTGCGATTGGGAGCTGTGCCTTCCGTCTGGAAAAATGCTATCATAATACCGCTCAACAAAAACCCGCAACCCAAAACTCCTACTGACTACCGACCTATTTCTATAACTAGCACTGCGTGAAACACATGGAAAGATGCATCAAAGACCGAATCGATGCGTTCATTGATCGATTCAGTATACTTCCTGATGAACAATATGGTTTCCGAAAAAAGGTATCCACTGAAGACAGTGTGCTGGACCCAGTCCACCAATGGATGTACCATAAATCCTTGCGCCGTATGATTGACGTATTAGGTTGGCAAATAAGTCCTGCGACAAAANGTGTCAAGGTTAGAAATTCAATTCCTACATACAGACATGTAACAAAAGGTGTACCCCAAGGCAGTGTGTTGGGTCCGCTTCTTTTCAACATTTTTGTATATGATCTTCCCAAGCGTTGTCGCACACACCCTTCGGTCCAAATATGCATGTTTGCTGACGACGTGAAAATGTTTCTCCCTTTTCAAGTGGATAACAAGAGTGAAGCACATTCGATTTTACAGCGCTCAGTAACTGAAATGGTTCACTATTTAGATCAGTGGCAGTTAAAATTGTCTTTGAGTAAAACATGTGTCCTTCACTTGGGTAGGAACAACCCCCAGGCGCAATACTTTCTGTGGCCTCATACTCCCATATGCGCTGTTTCCAGAGCCAAAGATTTGGGAATCATAATTGATCAAAGCCTCTCCTTCGAATACCATATCTCCAAAGTCACTGGTACTGCTCGGGTCGCGATGTTTCGTATATTAAGAACGTTCCGCTTGAGAAATCCATTTCTTTTAACACGATTATTCAAGGTTTATGTGCGTCCCCTTCTAGAGTGGAATTCATCTGTGTGGAGCCCGTATAAGAAAAAGGATATCGATAGTCTCGAGTACGTCCAACGTTTGTTCACGAAGCTAGTTTATTTCCGCTGTTACCGGACAAGACCTGATGAAATACCTTCGTATGATTCTCGACTGAAGAATCTTGGCCCAGAGCGTTTAAAAATGAGGAGAGTGGGGTCTGACTTAAACCTTTTGAGAAAAATTTGGATGCTTGAGAGGAAAATCCGTCTTTCCAAGTATGGTATATTCAGAGCATGCCAAGGAAGAGTTTCTAGATCTGATTATTACATACCGGTCTCAAAAGATGCGAGCTTTTCCAATTCCTTTTTTCATCGCTGCGTTAAATTACTAAGAATGCTTCCAGGTAATTTCTTCGGAAAAAACACAAATTTAAAATCGATATTAAAGGATCCAGCCTTGCAACAAATCTTGTCTCTATGATTCGAACGGCAATATGAAGAACGAAGCTCATTTATCGTCGATGATCTCATTCAACACGCTATGCTTCATACACAACTCCTAGTTTTGACATCGGGTGTTATGTGGTAATGAAGCTTCTGTCTGAGCAACTCAGCTTCTGGGCACCGCCTCGCCACTACCCGATCGCTACTACCGCTATTGCCATCTTTCTACAACTAACTCTAGTGGATTGAGGTGCGAGTGATTTCCTGAGTGTTACATGTTCTGGCTCATTCTGGATGTCGGAGCCACCAATGACACCTTTGCTAAAGTGAGATTTGTTGATGTGTATGAATTTATGTAGTGTGTCTGAATTATATTTTGTATTTATTCGTGTCACATCCTTGTGATATATTATCAAATAAATAAATAAAATGAGACTAGTGAAAAGTAGGATACATCAGAACAAATAAAATGAGAAAAACAAGAAATACTAGACTCACCGTGAACACGAGGCACTTTTTATATACCATAAACACAAGGCACTTTTTTTCACTGTCAGTCTGATGATAAGTTAAATTGTACCGTATGCTAATAACGCATCGTAATCCACAAATTTTGGCGAGTACTGTATTCGCGTTTGTCTGTTTGCGCATTACATACGAAACACGTGGATTGTCGAGGTGAACAGCCGTTTTCCTAATTTCTGATTACGTGGCGATGGGATTTTCCTATTCGCGGCTTGGGAATGTCTTTTTTTATCAGCTTTCGTTATTTATCATTGCACATTGTTGAAATGTAGCGTAAGCTGTACTAATGAGTCCTAAAGTAGCGGTGTTTTATCTTCAGTGGGCCTAAAATGTTGTGGCTTTATTTTAGCATTTAATGACAGAGCAGAGTACTTTTCCATTGCAACACTTACACTCATTAATTTTGACAGTTGACTTTGCAATCCTCAAGACTTTCTTATGTGGATATACCGGCGAAATCTACATCTCTAGGAAAATTTTATCTCGAATTTCTTTGTGAGCATATCGCTTTGGTAACCGATGATAAGCCATGTTTCTTTTCCCTTTATCTTCGTATTGTTCATTTCAGTAACCAATATGCCTTCGATTGACGGTCTGCTGTCAGAGAAGTCTACATTCTTGGGAAGTAATTTGGCAGTTCGTGCCGCAGACCAAGCTTATTTCGGTGGTCACCAACTCTATACTCATGTGCCGCCTTCAACATCAAAGGATCATCATGGAGAACATAACTCGCATGGGCACGGACATGGACACGGTGGACATGGTCACGGTCATGGACATGGTCATGGTGAGATCCCCACTTGAATACCCTTGGATATATTTTCATTATATGAATAGAATAATATATGTGCGTAGAATTGTCGTTATCCTGTTTACCATTATATTCATACTAAGATCGTTACGCACTGTTGCTGAACAGCTCACCAGGTGTACTTTTCTGTCTCAATAGAAAGCTCCACTAATAGGGCGATTTTCGACTTTCCTTTCACTACTTGTAGGTGTAGCCGGTGCAGTAGAGGGATAGAGGTTTGATGAGCGGACTGATTATTCTCATTTTGTGCCTTAGCTTACCTTACCATGATTATAGGATACTGCCCCGCCGAATGCCCCATTTCTGATGTTTCGTGATATTAGATCGCAAGAGAAGGGATTGGTTACGAATATTCTAGCCTAACACAGATATCTTTTACAGCAGACGTTTTCAATATGGAATTTTGTAAAAGCGAAGATTTTTAGTAATTCTCAACGGAGGAGGTGATTTGGTGATTTTTTAGGAAAGGAAATCGTTCCGAAAGCCGATATGCATCTGGTACCGAAAGGTGATTTGCATGTTGCAATTCAATATGCGAAAGAAATAGTAGCGAAAGCATTGTCAGAAGCAGGCCCATCTGGATTTGTAACTGATGGTAATTAGCGGATTTTTGGCATGTGTAGTTATTTATAACGCATGTAGGCAAGAAAGTAGTTGATGTGCCAGCAGGGTCAAGCACACGCTGAAATTGGGGCACAAATTAGCTTCAAAAACAGTTCCTTCAACTAGCCTAGTACCAACTAAGTACAACTTTGGTTTTCTGCTTGGCCCTGCAAATAGTTGGCGTTCAACGGAATGGATGTAGTGTGGTTTTGAAATTCATATCTCAAAAGTGCCGTGCGTTTTATCCGTGTTGTGATGTCTCATAGATGAATGGTCTGCCGTAATGCACCTTGTGCTTATTTTACTCTCAACCAACAGCGTAAATGTGACAGTTGAGTGTAAAAGAAGCTTGGAATTACTGTCTAGGCGACGGAGCTCCGAAATTGCTGTTCTGCTGGTTGGACACGGCTTGACAGCGATTTCGATATTTCATCGTTCATTGCATAATTCCAAAAATAGTTTCCTGTCATTCCCACTTCGATCTACAATTTCAGATCGTCTAAAGGAAGAAATGAAAGCTCTTAGGAAAGAAAATGAAGCGATCAGGAAGGAGTTGGCGGAGTTACGTGAAACTATCGAGAAGTTTACACGTATGCAAGTGATTCCCGCGAAGGTACGTTTTGCGAAGCACTGGATTCTGGGTTCCGGTTGGGATAGGCAGGTTCCTTGTCGATGTAAAATCCCGCTGATTTTGAAAAAGTTTAGGATCATAGGTCCATTCAAAAGCTGGCACATTTCAAGTAGAAATGAGTGAAACCCCATAAGAGTCCTAACAATAAGATTTAAGATTTTCTTTTGCATACTCTTTGCTACTGATACGAACCTCCTATAAGATTGATGTTTAGTATGAACCCGTTGAAGAAGCTAAAAAGAACGAGAAATCTGCCGATGAAGATTTCGATCTCTTCGGATCTGATGATGAAGAGGATGCTGAGAAAGCCAAGGTCGTCGAGGAGAGGCTCAAGGCCTATGCTGAAAAGAAGTCAAAGAAGGTACATTTTATCTTACCTGTTTCCTTTTATGTGGTTCATCAATTTCATTCTTACAAAACATCCGATATAAGCCATCTTTCCCTGTCTCAGCTTCGATTAAGCTCTCTAGTGCATAATAGCCCACCAAAAATCAAGTGCGACTAGATTCAATTCCGTGTTTTTTTCATTTGACAGTCCTCATTTCTTTTTTATCACCATCAAGCGTGCGTAAACTGTTTGATTGTAGCCAGGACCAATCGCGAAATCATCCGTGATCCTTGATGTGAAACCTTGGGATGATGAAACCGATCTGAAAGAAATGGAAAGCCTTGTGCGAGGCATTGAAATGGACGGTCTCGTCTGGGGAGGCGCTAAAAATCTCCCAATTGGATACGGTCAGTTTGGCGTAGAATTCTATGGGAGATACTTAATGTTCGGTGCTCAATCAACATGATTACAGGAATCAGCAAACTGCAAATCATTTGCGTAATCGAAGATGATAAAGTTTCCGTCGATGACCTCATCGATAAGATCACCGGTGATTTCGAGAGTCATGTAAGTATTTAGATGTTAGAACGGGTGTTGGAATGACTGATGCTGGGGTTCTGACGTCGCGGTGAGCGCGAAGCATCGCGCCTAGCGGACTTGGTCCCGTTCAGCTGAATTAGGCGTGTTTTCGTTGTATCAGTGAATCCGAGTTTACGGTCGGGTATTTTGTGTTACGATAGTCATATCTTCTCTTTCGTGAGTCATCACTTTTACAGGTACAATCTGTGGACATCGTTGCATTCAACAAGATCTAGAACCACTGGCTCAATTCAAAACTGCCTAAGAGCGTTTTACGTCGTTATCATGTTATCAGAGAATAAATATTCTGTAGTTTGTTTCCTTTCGACGCTTAGTTTTGAAGAACACATTCGAAGAAGTAAGCGTACAGTTGCAACTCGATTTGGAAATGAAGCTAGCAAACCTATTTGTTGAGTCATGAGTGAGGCACGATCACCTCACCTCGCTAATCCAGCCGTATGAATTTTGCTACGGTACACAATCCGTGCAGACAATTCACAAACGGTCAAGAAAAAATGTGAGCAGAAATTACAAGGGCATGGATGGTTGAACCGTAGCGTTTAAGAGGGTTTAATGCGATGAAACTCCTCCGAGGGACACTGGGTGATCTTGACCTTTAGCTGGAGTAATGTAGGATAATTGACAATTTCGTGTACTCTACAGCTTTGAAGCCAGGGCACGCAAAACCTTCCTTGAAGTTGAAACAAAGTGGAATAATTTAAAATAGCAAAATAATATTTAGTTTATAGGAAGACTCTCAAAATGCTATTAAAAAACCTGAGTTCCGCAAAGTATAATAAATAGTAAATTATACATATGCACTTGCTAGGCACAGGAATTCCCCCAGAAACTTGAGCTAAAAGCTCTGAGGCACAATTGAACACAGTAGTTCAAGTACGGTAGTCAATAAATTACACTTTTTCACTCTCTATCGACGCAAAATCGCTGCTGAAATTACGAAATGCTTCCATCAGTCTCTGAGATCTTCGTCCAGGAGTGCTGATCTGTTTTAACAGCCCATTCTTCAGTAACTCCTGGGAAGTGAAACGTACATAAACATTGTACCTCACCGCCTCAAGTATATCTTACCTTGTAGTCAATCTTTTGTTGTTTACTCGAAGGTGGGAGGTAGTAAACATATAGCCATACAGTCATCTGGACCAACATTAGTAGATTCTCTTCAGTTGGTTTTTTACGGAACCTGAGAAAAGCGAATAATTATCGGCACCGCAATAGTGACGAAAAGCAAAAAATAATGCGCGAAAGTGCGTGTAGTTCTTGGAGCAATTATGCATTCTACCCATTCAGGTGAGGCTCAACCCACATTCGCGAGGTAGCAACGGCGCCTCTTCGCTACTTCACACCTATGAGCGGACCTCACGGCATACAGCAGGAAACGAAACAAAGAACGAAGAATCTCTCAACCTTCATCCTCAATCATTTACAAACAATATCCACTAAAGAGTGGTAGAAAACGAGATTTTCCCATAGCAAGCCACAATCCTGGGAAATACTCCCCGAAATTGACAAAAAAAAAAAACTCACAGTGACACACTTTCTTTCAGCCGTAAGACTTCCTTTTTCTCCTTCGGAGAAGACTTCTTAAGTCTGAAATATTGGTAAAAAAGTGCGTTATACAAACAACCACTGAGCTATCAAATCAAATGGATCTCAAAATAATAACTAGTTCAGCAATGTGATGAAAGGACCTCTTTTTCAATGTGGAAACAAGACCACTCCAAATTTTTGAGAACTCCTTCAGAGCATCCATGTCTCCTTTTATGCCTGCTGCCTCGTTGGTAACTTGCATACGGCAAACTTTCGTCTTCCCCTTTTTAGCTGACGATAGAAGCGGTTTTTTCAGGACAATCGATGAAGAATCCTTCTTTCGTGATCGTGTCGAACTCGAACCTGATGGCGAAACTCTGAATTTCCATAAGAGATATAATTCAAACTGAACGATTCCAAATGGAGCGAGACAAGTTGTTCCAGTCACCTCAAAAATTGAGTACTTGAGAGGCTAACTGCAAATGTGGGATCTTTCTCGCTTTTAATAAGGAACAAATGGCAAGCCAGCACAATCGAAGTCTGTTCTGACAGGAACCTTCATCACGAAAGAGAACAACTATTCTTCATCACCAGCTGGTTGCTCTAGCATTACTTCATCACCAGCTGGTTGCTCTAGCATTACGATGAGAATTTGGCAAAGACAAATACTCACTTTATTCCAACTTCATGTCCGACTCTTTCGCGCGGCTCTTGTATCCCAGGAGAAACATCAAGCGTTCGGTTGGATAAGGGAGAGGCAGCTCCTCTTAGAATAGCTTTCGCTTCCTGCAATCGAAAAACGCCTCAGATAGTCAATAGGAGTAAATGCATAAGTAAAATGTCTTGACTGGATCTGCAAAATGTTTATCTTCAAAACACATACGAAAGGAGAGATGATTGAGCAGCTAACTAAAGGACGAATACTACATCAAATCACAAAATGGTCTAAGACCGAACGGCCACACTTTTCAATTTGCAGTTGTATGCCAATTTTGCCACTATACCTTCACAACCGACGTTTCCATAACCTCATTTAAAGAAACAGATTCGTATTAATCAACCATGTATAAAACAGTTTTACCTTTCCAGTGTAGCAGGGTATCCTGTGTGCATGAGCTTTTAGCGATAACACATGGTCGTTTGTGAGGAACACCGTTTCCCAACCCTCTCTTCGCGCTTCCACTACATGAACGGAACAATTTTGAAATATTTAACAGAATTTAAGCGTCGATATCTTACATAAGGTCTTCATTTGAAAGGCGCATTTCAGAATAAAGTCGTCGTTAATTTCTTCACTGGAACTGGTTACAAATCCATCCACAGGGGCGAACGACTGAAATGAAGGTATCTTCTGAGGCTCCATGGATAACGAAACGCTTGCTAGTTGTCGGTCACTAAAGCGAAACCTTAACTTCACAGAGTGCCCCTGCAGATCTTGGTTTACTTCCTAAAAGAGTTCAGCGACAAACGTTTTTTTATCGTCCGCACAAAAATTGCGGCTGTCGCTATAGGTGGGTGTCGGAACAGTATCACCACACACACCGCATACAACCTGCTAATTGATACTCAGTAGCTTTAAATATTACAAGTAAAAATATGTATGTACTTCCAGACGAAAATAACTCACCTCTGATGAACTTTCCCAGTATAACAAAGGAGAAGATCTCAGATCGCGTAGCTTATGTACAAGCCGTGTTGCTCTCTGCAAATTTAATCTAATTCCTATGCACGGCGTTACATGATTGTGTAAAAACCCTAAATCCTGAAGAGACAGAAACTATAATTGTTTTTGCTGATACTGGATTCTGAAAATGGACAAAGACTTTTTGTAAGGTGGATATAGACTGGAATTCACATCAACTATAGGCTTGGCAGAAGGGATTTTCAAACTTTAGAGACACTACTGATTCTTAAAAGCCCAGTACTGCCGATAAATGATCAACTGATTCTATATATTTCTGGTGAGCAGGCAAAGTTTGCTTCTGAACAGTTTCCAATCAATTCCCGTCGATTTTAATGATCAACTGGCCAACCGCTTTGATCGCTGTGTCATCAAATGCTATAAAAATGGCCAGGGAACTGGCACAAGTTACGAAATTCAGATTCCAAGAGGAGAGCGCCTCGCAGCCATGACTATCATCCCTAATCCATAACACGATTGTCCTGTTCATTTAAGATATACTTTCGTTTTTTTGCCTACCATACACATCGCCTCATCTATTCTGCACTATACTGAAGAGGTAAAGCACAATGATTAATTTACCGATCGTAACTGCACTCCAGATGGTGAAGTGGATGTTATCTTCCTCATATTGTCAAGCTCATAGAAAACACGATATGGAATAACTATAGGTACAAGCTCTGAAGTACAAACATCATTGACCAATGAAACACTTAGAGACTCCCTTGTGCTCCATAAATAAACTGGAACTACAGAAAATCAACTCAACCCACTTTCAATGCAGTCATTTATAAGGTCTGGATCATCGATTAGGACGCAAGTATCAAACACAACACAGCAACGACTTGTACCAGGTAAGATGAAAGGATTTGCGTTGTTGGGATTCTGAAAAACAAAGTCAATGAAACTAATGATGAACATACAACTCGATATTTGTCGCTGTGAATATGTAAATGAGATGTAAATGCAGTATTGAGACACTATTTCTCCAGAATTTTGAACTGTAGCATACTGTTCATTATTTTCCAGTCAGCTGCTGCTTTCGCGACATAATTCGTTCTACTTCCAATTGGCTTTTCTGGCTTTAATCTCTTGGTAATATATATTAGGATGCAGGGTGCACCTTATGAATATTATGCTTTGAAAGTAATCAGTACGGTTAGGCTCTGATGGATAATGAGTCGGGGAAGGACTGAGAGGTAAAGCCGGTAATGCCGGAACTACCTGTTGCCAGCTATCTTCCTAACCCCCATTAACTACTCAAAACTCATCCTGCCAAACGCCACAGGAAATCTATTCTTATTTATTTAGTCCCATTACTGCCCACAATCGAGGCTAACCTAGGAATGTAAAAACGAACCAACGATTCTGCGCCGTGGGTGTAGTGAATTCCTCGTACTTGTCGAAGATCTTCCGTAAAATCAATCTCCATGTCTTCGCACTCGTTCATTGTTGTTGTTGGTTTTGAAGAGATAGAAGTTTCATTGGAGGTAGTTATGATGTCCTCTGTGGGAGAGTTCCTAATAGCATCATCCCATTCAGTGCAGTCCATGGCTTCTATGCTAAACAACAAATATTATGTGGAAGGAATTTTCTATTAGGCAGAAAATAGGAAAGAACATTAACTCACTCATCACCGACGTCAACATGAGCAGAAAACGTCTCATGAAATTTTCCTCCCAATTCGTCGACAACTAAAAATTCCTACACCATCATTTTCTATAATTTTTGCCCTTGAGGCCGTAAAAATTTTGAATCAAACAGAAGTGTTCAAGCAAAACGCTCAAGTGGCGGCATCAAATCTATATCTATCATATCTCAATTCAACTGTTTCACTCGCCAGAAGGGGCCCCCCTTCCGACGCATTATAGATGCACTAAGAGACAATGCTGCCCACTGGAGACCAGCAACTTTCATCACGGTTCACGTAAATCGTGAGACAAAATGTTTTCTGGTGTTGTTGTTTTTGATGTTTGACAAAATGATACTCATTGCAGGTTACCCATTACTTTTGAGGCTGTACCACATCGCTGCAGCTTCGGATGTCATTAAAATGACGGGTGGCGTATTAACCATGCAGCCGTTGAAAAAGAACATAATTCTAATACAATAGCAAGCGATGGGACCATATGTTACACAGGTTCTCGTTATCGATAAATTCAATTCAATAACAAACTTATTGTTTTCGAAGCACTTACCACTAGCGCATTTTTCCCGAATATCTGCAGGTAGTTCCCACAATGATTCTCCCGTCTTCGAATTGTGATAGAAGATTCGTTTCTTGACTAAGTGCATATAAGCAGACCAAGGCTTTGGCAAATTAGGCACATTTAGGAGTACATTCCTTTTCCTGCGAGTCATTTTCTGTAACAACTATCATATCAAGCATTGACTTGAATTGTTGCTAAAGACACACAGACACTTCAAAATGACACTGATTGAATACCATAATAGAAAGGATCAAAACCATGCCTGCTAAGGTGTGAATCCAATCGTGCGTCTCTGAATCTTTATTCAAAAATATTACGCTTAATAAGTGATTGATCAAGCAAGAACGACCTGCAAACCTCATGGCAGCTCAGACCTCGTAAAGAGAGAAACGGTTATCAAGAGAAACATCATTTGATGAAGTTATGGAAAGATACAGGAATAATATGCGGTTGCACCCAGATCTAACACTAAAGTGAAGCAGTGGTTAAAAGTGCCGTTTACCATTCAAACGAATTGTGAGATCGAAAACCAATCTAGTTCTCCCTCTCATGGAATTAGTCTTGGAATCACAACATTTCAAAAAGTTATAACTATGGCACGTTTAGACAATCACGACTTAATTTCTCATGAAAAAATAAGGAAGGACCGCTTGAAAACACACCAACGAGCCACTGTCTCAAATATCTCGGAACAAATGATCGCTGACAAACTGATAATCTCTGGCCGTGGGACATTCATGACCCTACACATTAGCACCAAGCAGAGAACAATGTGATAGTAAAAGATAGCAACCGATAAGAGATTATAAGAATGGTCACAAAACCGGCTGATAGGGTATGAGATTAGGACGGTGGGCAGAACGAAAAGAGTGCTAAAAACCAATAAGTAGTGGCGACGTTGAGAACGAGAAAACACGATCAAGCTAAAATGTCATGCATTTTTATGATGATTTCTAATATAAGGTGACAAAAAGTGACAAGACAAACTTACCTCACAGGGAGTAGTCATGCGTAACTAAAGCAAACAGAAAGTGAAGAAAAAGAGAGATAGGAACGACCACAACCGCAAGAATGTGATTGCAAGTGAGGGAGGTTACCGTAAAGGACCTATGAAAGGGATAGTGAGAAGGAGTGATCATCACGACAACATATTCCATTGGGAAACGATGCCATCGACGCAGGGAAGATAGGTAAATGCCCAAGGACAAATAGCCCATACAGTAATATATGTTATTTAAATGACTGATTACAGTTGATCACATTATAATACAATTACTTATGATTTGGCTTATCCATCATTATGTAACACAATGCGCAACAAGCGACGAATTGAGAAAGAGGTGAAAGCACGCGATTCAGTTGAAATTAGGCGAAAGGCCAAAGTACCAAGAGGCAGAGAACACGATTTGTAAAGGAGTGAGTCAAAAAGAGAGACAAGACAAAAGAAATGGTGAATTTACAAGGAAAAAGGAAGAGAAAGTGCTAGCAAGTAGAGCAACGAAAGGACAACACGAGACGCGATATCTCAGCACACAAAGAAAAGTTTCTTAAACGTAAAAATAGTTTTTCACAGTTATCCAATAAAAGTTCATAATAGGAAAGAACCAATTTTTTGTGTGAAGCGAGAAAGCGGAGCTTCTAACCACTGCGAAGTTATGTTAATTATAGTGACTGATGTCCTCGGAGAGAGTCAAAATATAAAATCTCATGAGGTTCGTTATATATGGAACCCAATCTGACCTTAAAGGTATACTTACAATAATTATAAAGAAAGCGACAAATTCCAAAGATCTATTCAAGATCATTTCGACAGACAGTATTTCCAGAAGTAGCCTCCAAATCGAAGTGTGGAAGATTTGCTGATTGTTTCTGTTTCAGAAAAGCTTTTTCATCGTCCGACAGCTCTTCTTTCAAATTCACCAAAGCAGTCAGTATCTCCAATTTTCGAGCGTTGTATTCTTTCTCTGATATTTTCTGCATACGCAGCTCGTTATCCATCTAAAATTGAAAAACAATAAACTGATGCCAAAAATCAAAGAGAACTCTACGTTAGGTGAACGGGTGAAAACTGCCGCTCTTCCGAAAAAAGTGCTCCAAGCAATGGTAGAAGTGAAAAGATCAGTAGCATACCACGATGAGCTTTTGCCGTAATGCTGCTGGTTGCTTTCTTGCGAATAACGCCACTATCTCAGGTGTTCGGAATGCTTGACTGATCGCAGCTCTAACAGCCTAAACTTTTAGGTATGGAAAAAAAAATAATAGTATGGTAAGTGGAATGTAAAGAAAAATCAAAAAATATTATGTTATGTAGCCTTGTAAGAGAAATGACGTGAAAGGAAACGTGCGATCTTCCAATCAGACCAGCTTTGTGTCTAACTGTCGCAGATGCACTCACCATTCGTGTAGCAGTGAGATTATCTATCACAGTGATGGTTCCTCCAGTCATTTTCTCCAACGTTCGGCTGAGATCCTGAATGCGCAATTATAATGACAAAGAAAGGAAAAAACAACGCCAATAACTAGTGTATTTCAGATAAAAACGCGTAAAAAATTCTTACTATTAGGGTGGAAACCATATACGTAACTACAAAATTTCGGTCGAGTCTTAAGAGAACAGAAGCCAAATGGAAATCTCCTGTTTGTGAGCAAGTCAGATTGAATACATCAGGTACGAAATAGTTTAAACAAAAGGTTTCATAAGAACAGCTCCCACCTCAAGTTGCTCCATAGTTTCTGATTTCAGTTCTTCATACTCTTTTGCGTCCATATTAGACCTGAAACATAGAAATTGTCAGAGGGCCACAAGCTGATTAAAGCGCAAATAGCTCAAACCTCTCTTCTTCAAGATCGGATAATTGATTCATCAGACGATCTAGCTGATTTTGCAAATTACCCACAAGGACGGCGTCCGCCATTTCTAAATGGCATGATTAATGGTGTGTAATTCGTCTTTTTAAAAGAAGATAGGTTGCGTAAGCAGTGATTCAATTCAAAACGGGCTACAGCATCTCTGTTCTAGTCCATAGTCTCCTAACAGAATTGTATCGACTGAAGAACTATTGAACCTATGAGCCCCGCTCTACACATATGTTTACATTGTTTTTCCTTTGAAAAGTGACAAAGTGAATTTGCGATCTGCAGCAAAACAGGAACACGCTGACAACGTCGGTCTCTATGGCACAAATTTAAGACAATACTGTCTCGACGATAGATTAGAGTAACAAAAGAACGAGTCGCCTACAGCCTATCCTCATGTCGTTGGAATCATTTCAATCGAAAATAATTGCGATAACAACTAATTTAGAGTGAAGAAGACCAGAAAAGCCCAGTAGAATCCTTTGAAGACACACTTTGGTTGAACAAAAACAGTACGCAATAGTTCGTCAACTACTTGAAAGCGCTGGACGGAATAATGCGTACATCAAGAATTCAGATCTGTGCAGGTACAGTACTTCATTAGACACTGATGGTTTGCGTAATTTTAGCTTAACACAGGAAAAGCATTGATAAGCATTCTTTCGACTTTTTAGCGGGTTGAATGGGGGTGACTGCTGCTTTTGATTTGTAGTGCTTCCGGAATGAAAAAAGCGAAAGTGCCTTTTTCACAAGTTACTTTTAAAAAGCTTGTCATAAAGTTATTAGACGTTTTTGTTGCTTGAAACTATTTCTTTCGAGTTGACTATCTGTTATTCGCATTCACACAAGAGTAACTGAATGGTTTCCTTCTTGAAAATTTCGTAAAACGTTGCGATATGAATTTTGCTGTTCAACCAAAATCAGGGATCAAATAAGGGACTGAATAGGATTTTATTTGTTCGTGCTCAAATGCTAGTATTCAAAAGTCATACTCTCGCTCTCACTATAAACCTTCCATCTTTCTCCTCATCTGGGCCATGAAATACAGTTTTCTTGAATGTCAGCTAGCATCTGCTGCTAATATTAATTCAATCGCCGTGTGTAAGGTTGTGGCCTATTGCTTTGAATATAAGATGGTGTTAACGTTCTTTTTTCAGGTTGTTAATTGTCTCTATAACTTCTTGATAGTCGGCTGTGGATATTGACGGCTGAACAACAATGTTTGCGGAATCATCTGTGAGTTTTATATGGCTGGCCGATTGTGTGAATCTTTTATTGATTTTCTCTCTCATCTGTATCTTTTTCCGAAATTAGTGAGCAATATATTCACATAGGATTCCGAATCGGATGCTCCGTCCGCAGTGAGGGATTCCAGATTGTCCATGCTGACAAAAACGAAACAAGAAGATGTAAAGGAGACATTTGAAGAGGAATATGAACATTATAAAGTTGGTTTTCGCCTTCTTTGTTATCGATAACCCTAAGCGTCGTTGGCTTTATGCGGTCGGACTGCCTTATTCCAAATCTGTTACGGCCAAATACACTCCATCGGGTGTATTGACTAACAAGAGCTCAGTTTAACTACTTGCCATCGTGAACTTTTACCAACTTCTACATCGAGAACTTTAGTTTTCGCTCAGATAAACTTATTTATGTGGCAGAGTCCTTCCATTACCAGCTGCGGTCGTTTTTGCTCTTTACCCTGATTTTCAAATTGTTGGTCATTAAAGTGTCTAATCACCTTTTGAAGACAAAGAGGAAGCTCGAGGATGATTCCGGAGAAGGCGACCTATCGGATTCATCCACGGATGACCTGGAACCTCCTCCACCAAAAGTTGCCGCCACTGAATCAAAGCCAATGACTGCTGCGGAAAGAATGATGGCAAAAATGGGTCACGTAGAAGGAAAGGGTCTCGGAAAAACAAAGCAAGGTGTGTTTACATTGTTGTGGAAGATTCATTGTTTGCCTTTGCTTCCTTTCCTATAGACTCACCAGCTATTCAGGATTGATTGAGCCAGTCGCTTTGTCGACTCAACGTGGTCGTGTTGGTCTTGGTCACAGTATAACCAAGGTGCGATCTTCTACTTGCCGTGTTTCCGCACTTATGTTTCTTCTTATTGATAATATTTTTCCAGACAGTTGGACGTGATTTTTTGGAAACTTGGGATGAGTCTAAAGAGGATAAGTCAATCGAAGAACGTGTGTATTGGATGGCAGAGTGTCCAGAGAGCACACGAGACTGGGTCGTGGATTATCTTGAGGGCTCTGAATGGATCGAGATAGGAGAGGTGATTGTTCCTTATACTGCTTTAGCTAATTTTTGTGGCCATTTGAACTTCCTGTAGCTCGATTGCTTGGGAAGTAGAGTTTTTGAGTTTTCGAGCTTTTTTTTCTGTCAGGTTTTGCTTGATTTGCACACTTTAGTCTAGGAACACTTTCGGTCAGGCTTTTGATTATTCCTCTCATAGATATAGGACATTAACCCCCGATAAACAGCGCCTTTTTCTGAGACACCTTTCTTTTTCTTATTTTCTTCAGGATATATTCAAAAAAATCTCGAGTTACCGGATAAGGTAGCCATTCCACTGTATCTAATGAAGCGTGCAAGAAATCGTCAATCGTTACGTTCAGACGCTCTATAGTTACCAGCTCTTCCCTCTTTCATCAATTTTTTCTTCAGAAGAAATTAAAAATCGATGATGAAACGAATTTCTGCGATGGTGAGATCCTCAGAGATATGCTCAATTCGAAGGATGTAAGCCTTGATTACTTTTTCATTCCTAGTTCGCCCACATCGCTTCATTTGTAGGTATTTAATGTTGTTCCGGACAGAGATCTTCGAGAAGCGCGAGCTCGAGCAAATCCATATGAAACGATCGGAGCTGCATTTTTCCAAAATCGAGCCGCTATGAAAGTAGCGAACCTGGATCGGACTTTCAATTTTCTTTTCAGTGGCGAAACTGAAGAGAGACTTCTGGTACCGTTACTGTCACCATTGTTATCTTTTGCGAGTTCTTTGGCGTTTATACTGTAGTGTAGAAGCTGGCGGTTATCTTACAATATTAGTTCTTAGAATTCGTTAATGTTGCAATGTTTGAAGAACTGCTTTTCGCTTCATTATCTCTACTAAAAGGTAGTAACTATAGAGCCCCCATACTGCTTTTTCTTTTGCCTTGGATTCATGAAAGTTAACTTTATCCATCACCAAACAATTCAATGATTAGCCGTCGCAATGATTTTGTGATTAAAAGTTTTTTTTTTAATATTTAGCTGCAGCGCTAATCGGAGGCAGCGCTAATCGGAGGCCAATTAAGAATAGATTGCGCGCGAATCCACGAAAACGACATTCCACTTTTTCAGAGCAAGAATCCTTTGAAATCGGAGCGTCCGACATCCAATTGCGATCGGGAAGCTCCTCTTTTCTACTTTGCCGATGTTTGCGCAGGGCCTGGTGGATTTTCGGAGTATATGTTGTGGAGGAAAGCTTTCTACAATGTGAAAGGCTTTGGGTTTACTCTTAAAGGTACATCAGTTTATATCTGTTCATTCATGTTCTAATTAACTTGTGTAATACGGTGTCTTATGAAGGAAAGGACGATTTCAAACTTGGAAAGTTTACTGCATCTTCTGCTCACTATTTTGAGCCATTCTATGGGAAAGAAGGTGATGGTGATGTAACTAAGCCGGATAATATCAACTCTTTAGAAGAGTTTATCATGAAAGGTAAAAGTTGTTCTGGTTGCAACTTTTTGTCTTCAACATAGTATTACGAGTCTTCAAGGAACTAACGATGTTGGCGTTGATCTCATGATGGCTGATGGTGGTTTCAGTGTCGAAGGGCAGGAGAATATTCAGGTACCATTCCTTTTATTCGATGTGTAGCTGTAAACCTTGGTGTATTTGGGATGTAGGTAATAGCCAACGTTTTATATCATCATTTCGTGTTTGGAAACTCTCACTTTTTGTATTTTACAGGAAATTTTATCAAAACATATCTATCTATGCCAATTATTGGTATCCCTTTGCATTGTTCGAGAAGGAGGGGTGTTCTTCTGCAAGCTTTTCGACGTGTTCACTCCATTCAGGTGTGGCATTCATTGATTATGTTGCTGAAGGGTTTCGTTCACGAAGTTTTTCCGCTGATTTATGAACTATGCGACGATGCGCCTAGTCGCTTCTTTCATATGAAGATATGGCGTTTGACCTGATCAAGATATTTTTGCAGTGCGGGTTTGATATACCTGATGTATATCGCGTATGACCAAATTTCGCTGCACAAACCTCATACAAGTCGTCCAGCAAATTCAGAAAGGTTGAGAATTCTCTTTAGATTGTTTTGCTTTCATTCGCGGTATCTATTATTCTTTCAGGTATATAATTTGTAAAGGTTTGCGGAAGAACTATTCAGATGCTGTGCGGGATTATTTGAAACGGTATGTGTTTCTTGAAGCTGACATTCCCATATGTAGCCGTTTTCATTCTAAGCGCAGCTCTGAACCGCCCTATTCCCTTTGACAACAATCGTTTTGTAGTTTACGTCTTGAGATACATTGCTCTACTCCGACGCCTTTGGTCCTTCGCTTATCTTTTACACCTGGTTTCGCTCTTACCCTTAACCCCCACTTTTCCACCGGTTCTCTTTCGAGCCCCTTCCCTACGGACGGTATTGCTCGCACATTCCTTTCGTAAAATCATCCTCAGAAAAAGTTTGACTGAGTTATTTCCAGGGTTAATGTGAAGCTTTACGAGTTTACGAAAGCAGGTTCGTCAAAGGACGTGGTTTCCGTCGTACCACTAGAAACGTTGAAGAGCGATGAAGAGTTTTTCAAATATCTCAAGGAACACAACGAAAGGTATTTCTGTTGTTTCTGTTTCTTTATTCTAGTTAGTTGAAATAACGACTCGCGTAAATATCGTCCTACTTTCAAGGCTAGCCGATCGTCAGTCAACATATCTGAGGAAGTATCTGAGTTTTGCCAAGAACAGCTCTTTGATTGATAGGGACCAGGTAAACAGTTAGTGGGAGGAACGTTTCAGGTTCTAGAATTTGTATTTGTTTTAGGGTACTCTTAGAGAAGAATGCTTAAAACTTTGGTTGGTTCCCAACAAAACGTTAGATCGAAGAGAGCGAGGAGCGGAACGTCAACAAATAGATCCTGACCAGTATTTTGGAAGGTTCACGAGAAAGGTAATGATTTTTGTTGCGATTTTGTTCCAATGGTTATATAGTAGAAAAGGGACATCCCCAATGTGTTGTTTTGAGCCAATTATTTGCATTTATTAGGCATTAGCTTTCCTAAGAAAGGCTTTGTGTTTAGTTTTATGGCCGTGAAGACTTCAACGCTCGATTGCCAAAGTTTACCGCAACCCTGCTCAGTGAACGATCAGTGAAAGAGCTCAGATATGCCGAATTTAGCCTCAATATCCTATCGAATCGAGCTTCAACACAGCCCGAACTTTTGATCTCAACTGGGGTACGCCGATGAATCGAGCTATAGTAAGCTAGTTCTGCGAGGCCACACAAGAATTATTCAATGTTGAGCTTTTTAGGATGCTGTTTTTGTGTGGAGAAAACATTGGGAAAAAATTGACAACAATGTAATGCGAATTCCTGACAGGACCGTTTTATTGGTGGAACGAGCAACAACTTACAAGTTGGTAAGTGAATAGGAAAGATTCAAGTTCTGTGGATGTTCCATCAACTCATGTTTTAGTTATTTTTGCCCTTTCAGGTGGACAACAAACGCTTGGAAAGTGTTTCCACAGATGGTCTCGTTCGCATTCTTGATGCAGCTGTGCTTAATGGTGATGATGTTTCTGGTTTACTCTATTCAAAACGAATGGCGGCAGCTCAAAAGTTTTGCCAGGCATTGAAATTGGTGAGTTCAGCTATTTATGTGATTTCATTGTATTGTGCAGATAAAATCAGCTCAGATCGCACCCAAGATCAAACTGGGTTGGGGGAATCACGAAAGATATGTCACCCCGCCTCAATTGGTTGTGGCTGGAGTGTATTCATTCGACCAGTTAGCTCAGGTGAGTTGTACATTGTGTTCTCCAACTCGCTATAGAGATATAACGATATTTCGATGAAGATTCGACGAAAGTTCTCTCGATTACGACATTCCGGCGAAGAGGTGCTCATATACGACGAGAATGGGCACCTATTGATGTGCAAGGCGATCCGTGTTGCACGTCTCCTGAAGGGTAAGATTCCTTTTCGATGTCTCCCACACTCACCCGAACATGATAGTTGGTTTTACAGAGGCGTGGAAGATGGGATGGTCATGTAGCCGCTCGATGAAGTATGCTTTCTGTCCCCAACGGCCTGACCTCGGTAGTTTCTTCGAACCTCAATGGGAAGAGTGAGTTACCGTAAATCTTCTTTAACTGAATCGCTGATATATATTGTTCATTCGCCATCAATCCATGGCGATATGGCGTTAGACAGAACCCATAAGATGCATTATTTGAACTTCACAATGCATCTAGTAGGTGGCTGCGATCCTATAAAAGATCGGAGGACCTCTCAACTAGTCGGTCCAGCCGCATAGTAAATCGAAGTTGTCAAGAGAGAGGGATCCAGTTATTCAGCCCGAGAATTGTGCTCATCGCATTATTTGGTATATACACAAAGTTTGCTTCCATAAAGTTTGTTGCACTGCGGGGATTCTTGCTGATCGTAAACAAGGAAGAATAAATAGGAACACCCTTAAGGCCACAATTCACCCTTCCATCTACCTCGTCGCCATCGCTCAAATGTGATATGGCAGTGCTGAGCTCTGACGGAATCATTTTGCTGATTGTTTCCTGCCTTTAGACATGAGTGTTGTTCGTCGTTCTGGGAAAGCGCGATGCCGTCAAAACAGACGTCAGGGCATGTTCCAATGCAATGCATATGGAGTTGGGAAAACAGCTGTAAGTTTGGCTGAACTTAACGTTATAGGTGACGACTAATTTATTGGATTCATATTTGAGTGCTGGACAATTATGGACCTCGTGTAATACTCGAAAACGATTCGCACAAGAGTGGACCCACCGTGAATTCAATATTACAAGAAGTGGCTGAGACGGACGAAAAATGTCGGAAAAGCGTAGCTGCCTAAAACTTTGGGTGCGGATAAGACTGCAATGTTTGTTAATTTTTTACCTTGGCATCTTTCCACTTGTTAAGTCGTATGTAATAATTATTGCACTAGGCCAAAGAATGGCATTTGTTGATCTTCCAGATGGCACTTCTATCGGTTTATATTATTGTCGCATCTGAACATCGTAAGCGTCGGGTATTAGCACATAGCACTGAATTCAAGCCATCTTTATTGTTTTTCATGTTTCTCTAAAATTGAAGGGTCTAATACAGGCTGAGTAGGACATTTAACGTTTCTACTATCTGCTGAATTCAAACAGCCAGCACGACTTTTTAAAGAATATATAAAACATTTCATGTCCTAATTATTTTAAGTTCTGGAATATTCGTAGTACATTTGCTAAAGACAGTAATCAGGGCTGTATAGTCCATAAAATTTATTCCAGCCTTCGGTTAAACCATCTACTTCGTTTGGTGAGAACGAGGACTTCAGCTGGGCATGGTTTCCTCTTAAAAGTTGTAGACTCTTATTCGTAAAACCCTTAATTATTTACTTATTTTCGGAAAAACCTTTTAATTAATCTAAATGGAATGTTTGGCTTGCTACTTCCCTCTAGTAGACAAAAGCGTGGCTTCTCTCGTACAGGAGCCATAGGCTTAGCTCGCTTTTGCGTGATTTGCGGATTGATTTCCACAGAGATCAACCAAGCCTTTTACCTGTTTCGGTTCGATGCCTTGTTGCCGCACTCGTTGGTGAGAATCGCGAGAACATTATTTGACTTCTGTATTCGCTCAAGGTCTAAGCACTCTTCAATAACCTCTCCGAGGTCGAAAAGCAAATGTATGCTCATAAACAAATGAATAATTCTACTTATATTTATCCATCTCATTTTCAATTGAAAAATGGAATTATGGGCTCAATTTCCATACGAGATAATTACAAAACAACACATCCAAAACGAAAAGAATTAATGGAGTTCACCTTAGGTTTGCTTATTAATATAATAACTTATCACAATCAATCTGGTGAGAACAAGAATTAGGGGTTAGTCAGAAAGTGGTGTGTGCAAAGGCACAAGTCTAATTTTTCTAGTTTTTCTGGTTAAAGGGCACTTAGAATTCCGAAAAATTGCATGACTGACTGGCTAACTCAGGCCAAAAATTAAAATTACTGGGATGGCGTTATCACAAGAATGAGGGTGAGCAATCCCAAAACATCATACCGTAAAGTTACAAAACATAATAACATTGTACTCTAACAGCCTATGGTGACAATGACGATGAAACATGATGGCCGTCAAAGTTCGAGATATGCCCGCAGTACATAGCACCAGAGCGGGCGGTTGATCGCTTCGCAACCGCACACAAGAGTACCACGTACTTCAGTCATGGCTCGATTTTTGACGACGAAGGCGATTTAGGACACGAGATTACGGACATTTGTTTGCGGAACAGCATAGCCGCATATTAATAGCTGAAGTTCGCCACATGATCAGACACTTTCTGTGACAGTGGTCAGTACGTACGGAATGAACTGTAACGACAACCTTCATGTCGAAAATATAGATCATCGAACAGTCTCGAAAAAAGCTTAACAGTGAAAAGCGTGTACGGCCGAATTAATAGGGATCAACGGACTAGCATCGAGGAACGAACACGAAAAATAGCCAGAAATACGCTAGAGACGCGTAGAACAGTATTACCAGCTCGATATCAGCGAACAAACGAGTCGATGGCAATCGCGATCGTAACTCGTCGACAACGGCAAGATCAAGAAAGGCAGAATCCGGTACACATGTCGGATCATCACAACTCTCGTAACCTGGCGTAGTGAAATTCCTTATTGTTTCTCGAGCAAAAAACAAAACAACTTCGCAGTAATCGGGAGTTAAAACAGTTCGGTTTGTGTTGTTTTCTCATCAGCTAAGTCATTCACGACTTATTGCTGCATCGAACATTCAAACAAAACCTATTCTCCATATCAACGCAACGCAAGGTGCCTAATGGCATGGCATGTGGAATGGGTTACAATGTTTCTGCTAAATCAGCCACATTTTCTTCCAGAATTGCAGAGGAGAAGAGGATTCAGGAAATAAATAAACTCTAAGCTGAGAGCCGCTACTGTCTCCCTGCATTAGTTTCGAGCCAAAGAGTACATTTCCCAAGCGCAAGCCCTTTTCTATGAAACTAGGCATGAGAATAACAAATGCTCTCGTTGCTGAGAACCTTTAAGTGCACAAAGCGTGCTGCGTAAGTTCGTGTGGGTTATGTAGCAGCGCTACACTACGTTACTGTGTAGTCTTTCACGGATAATAAGTCTTAAGTGAAAGGCCATGCCGTTTTGTATAATTTTGCATTTACCCATAGTAAAGTACTCACACAGAAATGAATTTGAGAAAGCTTTTTTTAAAAGAAGGCTCACCGATGCATTCCTCGTCCAGGTAGCTGAGATAGAGGCCACAACAGAGCAGCCAATGAAACATTCTGCCTGAGAAGCGGCCGTTATCGGCATTCACCAGCTCATTTGAAACAAAAACCCGTCGGAGAAGAGAGGAAGAAAGACCGGAGGAGCTCGCACTCGCCTCTGAACATCTATCGAACAAATAACGAACAGAGCCAGAATAGAATATATGACGAGCGCTACGAACGCCGTGTTAGATTAATAGACAACAATAAAACACCAGGAAACGAAATAAAATGCCAAATCGAGACGTAAATTCCTCCGTTAATGGGTAGCTGCTTCAATAATTGACCGAGAAAGAAGAGAATCATCGGATCGTGTGCTCGCTATTAGGACATAATTCGCCGACTGTTATATGATAGATAACGAATCCAACTATTATTCAATCACGTGTCCAACTAATATTCAATCACGCTTAAAATATAATAGAAAAACATAAAACTGCCTAAAGCTACCTATTGATTGTCCCTGCGAACTCCTCCTCTCGGGCCCCCCGACTGCTGTTGTGTGGGATAGCGGACGACACGTGGCTGGAAGCCGTCTCCGCTTCTGGCTGAACCACCCTGTCGTTTTCCACCGCTTTGACGTAGCGCTTGTCGGTCACGGTCTACTTCAACATCTTCAAGTCGCTGAAATGTCATGCATGAGAGTTGCGCAAGACATGTTGGCTCAAAAATGAGCCCGATACCTGTGTCAGAGTGAGCTTTTGTTGGATGGCCAAGCGAAGTAGTTGATTAAGAGTCTTTTTCTCTTCTTCGCTGTTACGTTGATCAGCTTCCAATTCTTCTACCTTTAAATAAGATCATTCAGCGAAACAGAACCACATCTGTTTTTGAATAGAACAAACCTGCGCTTGGAGCTCTTCACATCTAGCGGTGAACATCGCCCGATGACTGGCGAATGTAGCTGCATCCTCTTTGAGCTGTTTCAACTCGCGCCGCATACGTTCACTGATCTCCTGAAACATCGGTTTTGAAGCGATGGGCGAGCTTAACCAGCCCTGTACTGTGGATTCAGACCTGATGAGCCTTCTTGTCGGCCTCGTACTTGTCTCGTAGAGATGCCAATGCAGATTCAGCTGTCAATTTATTCGACTTCAGCACAGTACGAAGAGTTGAGATTTGATCACTGGAAAGAAAAGGATTCCAAATAAATATAGATATAGGCTGCATTCAGCTAAGCCTTGTCCAAATGTAATCTACCAGGCGGCTACGCACGCTATCGCGTACGCTAGGGGTTCTAGCCATTAGAAACGGAGCCACATGAGCTTTTCATTATAGACCTTTATCGGATTTATGAGTTTCCGCTCAGACCCCGCCTCCTGTGGGCGGAATCGGGTCCTGCCACCCACCATAAGTGTTCCCATCCTGTCACCTGTACTCCTACGAAGTTTGAACTTTCTAGGTCCTTGGGAACTGGAATTATGGATTTTCGTATATAAATGTAAGACGGGATGTGAGCCTCGAGGCACTCCCCGCCCACTGTGGGCGGCGCCTCCGCTGATGTCATTTATGCTGGAGACACCTTCGGCAATGCTCATCCCATATAAACTTTTTCCTGCTCTGTTGGCTTTCTCCAAAGCGAGTTATAAATGTTTTCATAAAGCATTGCATTTTTGAAGAACGCCCCGCCCATCGGGGGTTGGTCTCCCCAGTTGGATCTAACTTACCAACCTCTAGCCACCCTCTCACACCCCGGTTTTGAGGCCGTCTTGTGACTGAATTTGTAATCATGGTCTTCAGTACAGCTCATTTCGATGCACGCCACACTCTCTGTGGGCGGGGCTCCGCCAAGCTGATGTGTGCTTTATACTTCTCGGGACATGGCCCACTCATCCCACGCTTGCCCCGACCCACTAATCCAGGCAGATCTAAAGGAACTAAGGAATTTCGTGACAACCATACAGACGACAGACAGACAGACAGACAGACAGACAGACAGCAGACAGACAGACAGACAGACAGACAGACAGACAGACACAGACTAAGCGCTTTATAATAAGTAGGATCATAGGACTTTTTTTTTTGAGGTGATGGTCTTGAGGTTTTGAGGTCCACGCAGTGCAATCGCCACTCAGATAATATTGCTGACAGTCCCAACTTTTCTCTACTCAGCATCACAACTGTGTCAACCCGGCCTATTTATGGTAAAGATATTTGGTAGGCATGCCGTAATATATGGAAACCATATGCGTCTGGTGAAGCTACACCCATTACGCCTATTACCCACATGGAAGTGCTTCTCAAAAGAGTCGTGTGAAAGCGCAAGTAAGGTCAAAATGACGTTTATCATATCTTCTCGTTTTCAAGCTCGAGACAAAATAGGACCTTCAAGGAACTACACCCTAGTTAATCGTAGATGGCTGAGGTCCCGTATCAAACTCTTCTCAAGCGAAAAAGGCTTTCACATAGTGTTGCACCAGATCGAATACTTAAAGAACATATCTAACACATATGAACAACGAACATGGAGCATCAAAAAACCAACCGTTTCGTGCTCAGCAAGGATCGCAATTTCATGTTCTGCATGAGTATATCATCCGTTTCAGCTCCACCGGCTGCTATCGCTTGGTTGAGAGCTTGTTCAGCGGTTCGCTTCACCGTTGAAAGCAACTTCTTCAGACTATCACTGGTTTGCGATAATGGGCTTCCATCTACAATCATGCATTTAGTGCACGGAAACTCGCTTTCTCAAATACTGGGCTTGGTGACAACTGACCTGTGAGAACCCGCTGTCGAAGGTCGCTTTCGCTAACGATATCAGCGACTTTGACGCTGGCTAGACGCGGGTCGACTTCTCGAATGAAGGATGGTGCAAGAACCTGAAGAACTTGAGCTTTGGCAAGAGAGATTTTCGATCCCGTAGGCGAACCCTACGAATAAATAGCGCTTACCGCGCGGTCAGAGTTCAATGGAATAGCCTTTGTGCCGCTGGTGTCTGTTTCAGTGCCACTTTCGACTCCTTCGTCAGCAAGTGACACCTTCGGTAAATCCTCTGCGTTCTCACGTGCCAATTGACGTAGTTTATTGACGATCTGAATAAAAATACATTTCGAAGCACGTTCCAGCAGGAGAAATCGGTAAGTGAAACTAAGGAAAAAATTTTGTCGTCAACACTAACTTCGATCACCGACTTCTCCGTATTTTGCCCTTGATTCTGTACAATTTGCGCATAAAATTGGAATAGCTGGTCTGATACTTGGATCATCGTATCCTGCAATACTGCTGATTAGGTAGCACTCACTAGCTTACCAGTTCCATTCAAAAGGTTGTGAATGTTAAAAAAGCGAATAAATGAACAAAAGCTAGAATAACAAAAAAATCCTGTTTTTATGCAAAATAAAATAGAATAAATAGAAGGTCATACATATTTCGATATTAAGTAAAACTTCTTTGAGTTTCTTTTCATAGCCTACCCAGGCCAGAGGCATCTTTCATTATTATAAGACAAATGTGTGAATGTAAATAATTTGAAACCACAGGGCAGATAGCATACCTGGGCAGCTGCAAGCTGAGCAGCTTTTTCACCGGCGAAGAGCAAGAGGGTACGAATGTCAGCCCGCTGATCATGGTCCCTTTTCTCCGCGCTCGCATCAACGTGGCCATTTTTCAAAAGATGATCGAGTCGATCCAGTACCACGTCTTTTTGCTGTCGAACGTGTCGGAAGTCAAGCTCTGCAGTTTTAAAAATTAATAATACCGTATTTCGGGCATTTGAAATCCAATAATAAAATTTTGATAGAAATACTTTTCGAATGCGAACGAACAATCCAATCTATAAACAGGGGAAATAAACAAATACCCCTTCTCTTTCTGAGGCAGAGTAGTACCATCTTTCAGAACAATTAATGGTTTGAAAAAGATAGATTACACTACGTAGATAACGACAACAAGCTGGGTGGTTATAACTGGCAACGGAATGTCTTTAGGTGGTGGGACTTGCCTGCACCTGCACACTGTTCCTTTCAATGATTAATACGGATGTTAAAGATTAACAGGAACCATGGTATACGAGGAAAACGCATCTTGTTTGATTTACTAAACTGCTGAGCCGACAAGGACCCAGCAAAAGCGCACGCGCAATTTCCTTTGAAAAGTTTCGGTATTTCAATACTGGAAATACTGGTTAATACGACCTCACTCTCACTGCTTAGGTTTCCGTCACTCTCGTGAAACGATACCTTGTCATGGTGATGAGAACTAGTGGACATAACCAAATATCAGACCGATCGTAAAAGGAGAGGATATCGAATAACGTATGTAAAAAAGGAAAACTCACCTCCAGAGTAGTTAATGTTCAATTTTGCCATTATACTGGAGATAACTTCGATTGCTGCTTTCTCACGATCTTTCACCTCTTCTTGCAAGCCATCACAAGAGGCTTCGAGTTCGCGAAGCTGCCATAGGAACATTAGACGAAAGTAACCGATACGAAAGCAAAATATGACAAAATTTATTACATATTTTTATAAAATAAGCACTTATGGAAGCAACTCTAGCAGAAACAAAGGATCGTGACAGTTACACACTCCTCTAGCAAAGCTATAACTCATCATAATCGAGTCAGGGGCCTTTTTCGCATTATTGTAATACTTCTTTTTGTGCGCCGATAAGTGCGTTGTTAAAATGGAGCGGTGAATGGTCAAATTATCGACGAAAAAAAAACCCGACTCAACTAGTCTAGGTGAGCTTCTTTTGCAAAAACACGTTACGCAGCGATATGATATACAAATGGACAATCAGTCAACAAATTTGATAGTTATTTGAAAGTCTAAGCTCTTGAAAGTTAAAAAAAAGATAAAAAAAAACATTAGGTGGCATCGGCTTGTCAAAAAAACGCCTTCCGCTTTTCTACTTTTAAAACCCTTCCAAGAGCACTACCAAATTCTTCGCATTGAGCTTCTTTCTCAAAAACTTCTAGAGGCTCACGCCTCTGTTGGGATGAAAAACGCTTTTCGCGAGAAAAACACAAGGAAGGTGAAGGATTCAACACAAGGAAGGTGAAGGATTCAAACGTTAATAGGATCCTCTATCATACATACTTGACGTGAAAACAAACAAACAAACACACAATGATGAGCAGCTTGGTCCCGCCGTGGAAAAGATTTCTCGAGAAAGTTACCAACCAACAGAGTTAATACATATATACTTCTAAGAGACAAATCCGAGCACTCTTCTGATCAGTGCTCTTATATGACATATGCAATATACGACTACAGCGCTCAATCTAGCATTAATTTAAAGCAATAACAAATATAACGATTCCAAGGAAAATTATTGCATAGATGCTTACCTTTTCGTCAGTACTGCCTTGCAGTTCACTAAAAAGGTCATTCGACGGCTGAACTGGTACTGGTTCCTAAAGCAGTCTGTGAAGCAAGTTTACTCACAATCAATTTAAAATAAAGTGGACTGGACATTATAATCCTCTCCAAAAATGAAGGAGTGATTTGAAATTGTGTCTCAAGCGGTGCAGTCACAGTGATGGGGCCCTTCTCGACACAACTATTTCCATTACTCCTAATTTTTGTAGTGCCTTCATCTCGATTCACAAAAAACTTAAGTGGTGTACTTGAAACCGATTTTTCAAAATGGCTAAACCGCAACGCAGGCGCACGCGGCTACGCATGTCTGAGTTAAAAGTACTAATTTCTAAAAAAAATTGCAATCACTTGGAAACTGAAGCCATAAAATTTACCTCTCCTAGTCTTTCCAATCCCATCAACATGTCCGTCAAACTGCTCAGATGTTCGGCGTTTTTCACTGCATCCAGTTCCTTTTTCATGGCAAGCCGCTGCTCACGTTCTTGCTGAGCGGCGAGGAGGGCTTCTTCTACCTGAATAAGAGAAATATTCAAAGTAAAAACATAAAAAAAAGGAATATTGCGCATCGGACCAGCGACGCCTGACGGAGATGCAAACGAATCTGACTGCAAAGTTTCTTATACCACAAGTTTTCGCCTAATCACGTTGCTTTCCTCCCTTTTCCGTGAAGCAGTTTTTTTTTCAACCACGCCATCAATTCCAAAAAGTTGACCAAGGTCAGAAAAGGGCTCAATTCCCCTTTGAGATTGTTTTGATGAAAAACACAGTCTGTCGTATTCGTAATTTCCACCTAACGATCCGGGCGCCTTAAATATGCCCTGCCTCTAGTTGCTGTGAATAAGCTTTTTAATTCATTCGACAGGCTACTTAGCGTCACACAATAAAATTATGATGACTAGATTTGAAAGAGAACTGATATTGAGCGTAAAAGCAATTCTTTGAGCAAATCACGATCATTTTAGCACTGAGAGGGCGCATTCATACCACCTGCGCTCTGACGCAGATATAAGCGTCGTCGCGCAGGTACTACAAATGCGGCCAATTTTACAATGTTTCTGAATGCTTTATTTGTTGGGATCAGAACTGAAAATCCACGTGTCGCTTCTCTTCATACAATTATGAGCACTACGTCACCGTTTTAAACTTGCCGCCATGCTTCCGCCATGCGGATATTGATCACAAGATCGCAAAATCAATATTTAACAACAGAATGCAACGATTGGATTATATCGCCACCCTGTCTTTTCTGAACGTCTTTTTGTTGATGCGCCGTATATATGAAGGGTGCTTGGAAAAGCCAGAGGCCATGCTGTTGTCGAAGCGAAGAATTCGCGCAACCAGCACCGCGCATGCAACGCGTGCGGTAGAATTGATGATATGAGGATCATGTGGGCGTGCTTTAGAAGGAAATCAAAAAAAAAAAATGCAAATTTTCGATATTCGCGATAATTTTGATATTTTTGAATGATATTCGCGTCTGTACGAATGAACAAAAATTTTAAGAAGTTTAAAATTGTTTACATCGAAATCGAACCTGTTTCTCAGCGATATTCTTCAACAATTGACTTTCTTCGATTGCTGCGTTCAACATGTAGATCTCATCCGCATATCTAGTACAGTCAATTTTAAGTGATTCGAATTCCACCTGTGCACCACGAAGATTCGCTACCTGAAAAGAAATCAATCACTTCTTATATCGTGGCTCACAAAAACTAAAATAAGCAAAGGAAAGACAGCTGCCTTAAGAGCTCATTATAAACGGAATTGGGTTTATGTTTCGAGGACAGAAGGGAGATAAAGAGAGAATAAAGAAACGGACGAAAGTGGATCACTGACCGTCTTTTGCAATGCTATGTTTTCCTCTTCGAGTTCAGTATATTCACCCATCAATCTTTGCTCACGCTCTTTTGTTTCTTTCAATTCAGCCTGAAAATTATTATTAGGAACTTAATTTATTTACTTTATTCTACAGTTGAACTGTTTGAACCACCACTATTTCTTTTGTCGAGCGACTGTTCTTTGAGGCCAGACTTAACTATAGAAGCTACAACGCAACCACGCGCTTACGGCCTCAAAACTATGAATGCCCGCCGATGGTTAGAAATTTGACAGAAGCTAACTACCTTGTTGTGAAAGAACCCCAGAACTTAACCAATGACGAAAAGCAATAATTAGAAGCTTCTTTTTCAAAGTGAACTTCTTGAACAACCAAGACGACTACTTATAAGTGAAAAAGGAAAAAGAAGCAAAAATTGACTTTGAAATAGACAAGTGTCGAGCGGCTAATTCCCTGATGCGGCCATTCGTGAACTAAACAAAACGTGGAATGAGATCTTCTGTGAGGACAACACAAATCGCGATGTCCTCATATGACCTCTTAGTCGTCGCCATTACGTAAAAAGTAATGAAGTAGAGCCGTGCTGACAACAACTTGTACTGTCAACATGCGCGATAATGAAGCTGTCTTTTCTAATGTCAAGAAACCCAAAAAATCTAAATCTGCCGTAATCGATCTTTCACCTTTAATCGTCGTCTTTCCTCTTCCAGAGCTGCTCCAGTATCTGCAGCCGAACTATGGGCAACCTTCAGCCGTTCCAGCTCACTTTGACATCGGGCAAGTTCCTGAATGGAATTGTCAGTTAGTTGAAAAGGAGTATGCTAAAATAGGTGCAAGAACTATTGCTAACAATCACAGGGTTATTTGTGCAAATCCTTCTACACCACTCCTCAAGTCACTCTCCCTCAAACTCCAAGAAAAAGTGCTGCGCTGATAAACACTAGTACCGTACCTGTTCTGTATTACGTAGAGTTGTCTCTAGTACGGTGATTCGGTCGGTGAGGCGACTCTCCTTAGCCGAACTTTCTTCGATTAGTGTCATCTCGTTTTCTAATTCGCTTCGATGTGCCGCTTTATGCTGCGATCGAAATTCGGCCAACATCTGAACATTTGAGCTCAGATAAAACCCATTCAACATAATATGTAGTTCTTCTCAAATACAATCTATCATTTAAAGAAAGGCTAAAAGATGAAAGAATCAAGTCTCGTGCGTTGGTCAATCTTGTTTTAGGACGCTTCCCTGCATTCGGCTTCCATTCAGACCCGTAATAGCGTATTGGATGCGTATGTGGCCTATGGGATGACTTGCCGTGGCCAGCCGACGTAACAGCGAGTGTTTTCATCCTGCTAGATGAGTCTGGTACCAAGCGACATACCCCGGAGGGATGTGGAAGGTTTGATTGGCTTAGACGGATATCGACGTCGATTTCCGGCACTTTCTTACATGTTAAATGTTCAAATGTTTAAATTAAATGTCAAACACCAAACCAAAGTCTGTAGAACAGCACATTTAATTTTCATAGTAATCATCTACCCTCACTTACCGTGACTGCCGTTCAGAGAATGGAAAGTGAAGAATTAGGAATTCACTTACAGGAAATGAAGAGCATCACCACTGCATAGTTGTCAATTTACAGAAAGGGTCCAATCTAATGCCCAATGGGTCTGCTATTTACCAGAAACTGAATTCGCTACCGAATGAAAGCATATGGGTTATCACGGAACCTGCTTCACTTATCGTGATTGAGAGCTCCTGGCCAAAACCACCTTAACATCGCCTAATCTACCGATCCGAACAAGTGCTCCAATTCAGCCATGCATATTTGCATCAAAGACCGCAGAACAAAAAAATCCCAGTTTTGCCCATCGCTTTCTTGAAAGGTCTTAGGATTATAATGACAACACATGATGTGGTGTTTAACAGGCAGCAAGCCTCCCCATGCGGTAGCCTAAAATTTAACTACGGAAGATAATCAAATTAGTCAAATGTAACATTATCCGTACGCACTTTTTTTGAAGTCACTTATGGGCTATTATTTACGTCGTAGGTAACTCACAATAGTACAACATAATTCGTTGGTGGGATGGTAGAAAGCCGACAGCCGACAGACAATGTGCAAACCTATTGATTGCATGAGATGATGAGAGCTCTGATTACAGTAGGCGGAGAGCTGCGCATAAACGTTAAAGAAAAGAAAAAGACAATGAGAGGAATGCCCGATCGGACGACGATATCAACTATTCTGCTACTCCGGTCTGAATAGAATACATCAACTGATATTTTCAGATTCCATTCAACTTCTACAGTATGCTATACCTATGAAAATCAATAGACGCCAAGCCAATTGCATGAGCTTGAGAACCCAATCACCGGTTAAAGGCACACCTGCTTGCTGAATAGGCAAGTCATGCAGTGGGTTGATGTATTTGGGCTTAGTTGCGATGTGCAAGATTCACTTGATGGTCACCATGCATTCACCGAACCCCACCCTATGTTAGCAGCATTGCCTCGACTGGTGGAACTGCTTTAGTCGTTCTCAAGGGCTTTGGCAGACTAACTGCTGCTCAAAGTACTTATGTAAGCGGAGGTAGAGTGTTGTTTGTTTAACACCAAACATCAAACGACAATTTGTTCGAGTTATTCTTCACGAGCATTTAAGGAGGTCGACTTTTCTTTTCTCACGACAGAAAATTGATAATCAAACAAGTGTGGGAGTAATGTGAAATCCCTCCTGCGTTACAATGCGTGCATAATTACAGTCGAACCAAAACAAATAGTCACTTTTCACTCGTTCTACGTTCCACTGGATCTCATTTTCACCAGGCTAACTGAAACATAAGTGGCTCTCAGAGTCTGCTTTCATAGTCCGCCGGCTGGGCTATGAATTTTCGGTTTTCGATGAGATGAACTATTCCTCGAAGCGGTGCCATGGTTCGACGATGACTTGTGAAACTCATGAGCGTTCTTATGATGGGCACTAGCGATGCAATACTTCGGACAATGGAAGCTCAAACGTTCTCTATCGGGCTGAGGTCGGGACTACTGCAAGACAGGGCAGAAGTGGCACTTGGCTGACATGAAATGGTACATACTTCTGCATGAAGACAAAATTTTGATCTCAGTTTGTACGGCAAATTTGCAGAAGACCACCTCGTAGCCAACCCATGAAATCATGCTTCATGACCAAGCACAATTTCAGGGTTCTCGTGATGCAACTGAGGTCCGAACCCTAACCCAAACCAACCACAGCCACTCAACGTCGAATTTTGTGTTGATACGCGAATTCCCTTCTATATTGAGCATATCTTTTTTTCCGCAGAATTTTCTAAGGATATCTATCTGTATATCTGTATGCTACGGATCTCCTTTCACTGAGGGTTCTCTCTCACTGAAGGATCCCCAGCCGGTTAGTGACGAGGCTACGTAGGGCGTCCCCAGGTGGCGGATAGGGGAATTAATCGCCGACCAAAAGTCACCGGTACTTGCCCAGAGACGCAGGTGGATTCAGGGGATGGACTCCTTGATTCTGCTGTGCTGGGTCGATATACCCTCTGTTCCTCGCTGGCGATCCACGCATACGTGTGTGGAGAGTCTGTGGGTGCAGTTGGTATCCTGCCCATCGACTCGGCCAAAAGCTTGCATTCGAGTGACGATCAAGTCACACTGGGAAGTATCTGGGAGGCGATTCGGGGCCGCCTCCAAAAACAAAGCCCCTTGTCCACTTCGGGATAGCCTGGCAAGCCCCGGAGTCAATAGCCCCCACGTCAGAGCCTGGCAAGCTGCACGTTGGGTATCTTCACGCCAAAAACAGTAATAGAAATGGGCCTCATTCCCCTGAACCTGAGGGAGCCCCCAATACGGCAGCGTTGGGTAGGACCGCTCGGGAGAGGCTGCTAAAATCTCAGGGCCAAAACAGGCTGCCCAAAAGGAGAAGGACTAAGATGGCGATCTGTACTTTCAACGCACGGACGCTTGCATCGGAAGCGTGTATAGAAGACCTGATGATGCAAGCTAGGAAGATCAAGTACGACGTCATCGGACTGACCGAGACGAGAAGGCATCGCCCGCTGCACGCTGTATTTGAGACTGGAGAAGAACTGTTCCTTGGAACATGCGACAGTAGAGGCGTCGGCGGCGTAGGTGTCCTCGTCAATACGCACTTGGCCATGAACATCGATTCGTACGAAAGCTTAACAACCCGAATCGGACGTTTGCGATTGAGAAGATGCGGTTCAATCCCAGCTCTAACCATCTTCGTTGCTTACGCACCAACATCGAGCTACGAAGAAGAGGAGTTGGAAGCGTTTTATATGGATCTAGAGAGGCTCTACAGAGAAGACCNGAACGACCTAGCTCCAGAGCTGTGCAGAAGGAAACGCGCCGCGTGGGGAGCATTTAAGAATATCGAGGGAGTAGTGAAGAAGACAAAGAACATCCGGCTCCGCGCTCACCTTTTCGACACTGCTGTCCTTCCTGCTTTGACGTACGCCTCGGAGACCTGGACTCTACGAAAGCAGGATGAGCATGCTGTCAGCGTTATTCAACGCGCTTTGGAAAGGACGATGCTCGGAATTTCCCTATACACGCAAGTGCAGAAGGGAATCCGGAGTTCCGAGCTCCGTCACCGAACGAAGATCAGGGATGCCGTTGATTACGCCAAGAAATCGAAGATCAGGTGGGCCGGACACGTTATGCGATATAGTGATGACCGTTGGACCAGGGCGGTTACTGACTGGATCCCTCGGGACATCAAACGAACACCAGGAAGGCCGCCGACGAGATGGTCAGACTTCTTCACGAAAGCTCTGAACGAAAGGAATGTTGAACCTCGTGTCCCTGAAGCGAGAACGGTTCACTGGACCACTTTGGCTCGTGACAGGGACGAATGGAGACGTTACTGGCGCCCACTCGAGGATTTCGATGATCGACGGGACGACAGGTGATACAGGTGATCTATCTGTATGAGTTTCTACAAAGTAATAATCAGGAGAAATAGTGTATGGGAAAGAAGGTAATGTTTCCACTAAAGCGACACAAAAGACAGATCCTCCGCAACAACCTTACTACTCCAAAATGCACATGGAAGGTAAGGATAGAAAGCCGTCTGGCACTATGTAGATGGGTGCCTAGCTTGATGGTATTGAGAATGGAAACTTGGAAGGAAAAAAACAGAATTTCCTTATCCATCACACTTCTAAAATGAATGAGAAGAGACGCAGATGTAATAAGGAACTGTGTTTAAAGAGTAAACTTGGCTCGTCGTGATTCTGGCTAGAACCAATTCAAGTTTAACCTCGTGCTAGATATCCCTACAGAACTTTCCGAAATATCATTTAGATGCATGGCCATCCTATGTTCGCATTCGTTAGAGATAGTTGATGCCCAAATCGCTGTAGACTGTGATAGCAAATTAGCAAATCCTGTGATAGCAAATTAGCAAATCTTGAAGAGTGTGGCACCCAGACTAGGAGTGCGGTATAGGCGCCTTTGTCAATGCTTCATGATTGCCCTATCCCTACCGCAATGAAGTGCTATCGAAGGAAGGAAGACTGCAGTTTCGGAGTTGATTAATACCCTTCGGGAAGAGCTTTAGCATTTCATATTCATTCAAACCAAGAAACATTTAGAAGTTAGCTTACACGATGATCTATTGGATGCAGCGAAGTACAAATCATGCGTTCAAAGTTACAGAGGAGTCTGTTACCAATCGAAGGATCTCACAGAAATGGAAGGCTCGTCACCATCCTTAATCACGGGAAATAAGGTCAGCCTTCCATCCTAGTGAGATCGCTCTCTTTGAACTCCTAGAATAGAAGAAAACAAAGAAGCAGAAATAAAATATTTTTTTCTGAAAAGAAGAAGATATGGAAATTCATAGCCAAAACCGTCATCCACAAGCATCCTCGTATATCGTGCCGCAGCCACTGAACCAGACAACTGTTATAAACTGCCGGGGCAATTCCTTTTTTATTTTTGAATTGAAAACAAGTTGAAATCTAAGGAGTTTTTACGGATAATGACCCATCCTTATGGTGTCGCGGTGATTTGAAGTCTGTGAATTTCACCGAGTTCACCAAAAAGTGAGGCATGATCGGATCGCCACAAACGCTTCATTTAGCAGCTAGGGCAAATGCGCATTCGTGAGTCGCCCATATCGAGTCTGAATCGGAACCGACGACGTTTCAAAATGATGACCACAATGCCACCCCATACTGTACGTTTAAGGAGCGCACATAAAGCCTCATGGAGTTAAAGTTAGTACTACGTGACGCTTGGCCTTGCGGTCTAGATGGGCTCGTAGGATAGAAATATTTAGATGATAAAAGAGGCTCAAGAGCCGCTAAATAGCCATAGACAGCATCGAACAAAAAGAAAGAATAAATATCCACATCACATGCACATGAGAAATTGACGAATGAAAGTAAAATATCACATTTCACAAAAAGTAAAAAATTTGGTGAATAATCGAACACTGATGAAACCGTACCTGATTGGCCTGATCGACCTCAACCTTTGCGGCATCGTATTGCGTCTGCAACTGAGCTAATCGTAATTCTAAAGCCTCTTTTTCTTGTAGAATACTTAGGCCAACTTCGGCAGCCTGGAAACGTGTAGAATTAGACTATCAGAGTATTCGAAAGATCGGGATAATTGAGATTATGCCAGACCTTATGTTTGTCGGCGATCGCTTCTTGAAGAGCGGCCTCGAGCCGAACCACCTCGGCCCGTACTCGCTCCAAATCACCCATGCCCTGCAAAATTTCTCTCTTGCGGTAGTACCCATCGGAATTAAACAATGAGAAAAGAGAAACATTAATGCATAGCTGTAGACTACTAGCGAAAAAAAAATCGGTAAACAGCAATATCAGAGGTGACGAATACGAAGGTGGAGAGATTGCTAGAGCTATGTTACCAAAACGTCATAAAGCAGCCTGAAACCCGTCTTTCGCTTTAAAGACAGGACAAGGTTTCCTGCGGACCTCAACGAAAGCTCGTTAACACTTTCCAGATGAAGAATTGGGAACAACTACAACTCACTTAAGAAAACAAACTTCGCAAAAAAAAAGAACTGGAATAACTACAGAAATAGATATCGTGAAACAGCTCGAAAATGAAATTCAGCTAACGACTTTCTGATTACGTTATGTTTGTCTGGCTTCTTTTCCATCTATAGTACAGCTCAAAAAAGGTAAAGATTAATGAAAATCGAAGTACTGGCAGATCACAATAAAGAATAAAAGCACCAGAATCAAATTGCAGCGCTGGAACATCACAACTATTATTTTATTATTTGAAAATTGCACCCAATTGAGGTGACTTTTACTGAGCCTCCACCAACCAGTTTGGTCACAATGCCACCAATTTTGTGGCAAACTGTCTCTGTACTGCTCCATTTAGAATAAATGTTCGATATCGAGAAAGTATACGTTGGGCACAACATTGGGTGCAATGAAAGACCATGAATTGAGAAGACAGGGGGCGGAGGGGGGGGGGGGGGGGGGGGGGGGGGATTGGGATAAGGAGAGGGTAAGAACAAAAAGGGTTGGAATCAGCAAAAAAGGTGGACAAAAAAGGAAATAAAAACGTGGTCACAACAGAATCACAGGAGCATGAAAGACATTTGCGACAACCACAAAACAGTTCTGCGAATTTGGAAGAATATTGCAAAGTGTGGATTGGATGGCAAAGATTAGAAGTAAGCAGTTACTTCCATCTACTTCATAAAGCTCAGGTGGCGAAAGCAGAAGCATCGTTAGAGCGCATAAGCCCTGGATCGAATCCCTCTAGACTTGATGAAGCTGAAGAGATGAAGATACGAGAAGATAAATCTCAACCATTCCACGTCAGGCTTTCCGAAAGCCGGAAAAGGCGATCGCGGCAGAAATCTACTAGCCTTCTGTTCTTGATTTTTCAAGTTCTTCTGATTTCCTATCTTTAGTAGACGTGCTTAATCAGAACGTATTAGGATTTGAGACGGCAACAAGAGAAAGGCGTGAACGTGGGAAAGGAGCCAAATTAGGTGATTTCACTTTACACACACAATTTGAAAAACTGTCGAACTGGACAACTCAAAAAACAAAGCACTTTACCAAGGTCGCCAGGAGACCTAAACCATAGTACCTGGCCCACTATGAAAACCATTAAGGCTGAAAACTAATTGGAGTGGGCCAATGCTTTGCACACCCCAATGCCACGACAGTAATCCTTGTCAGTATGAACGAAAAATGTGGTGCTTCAGCTGAGTAAATTAAAGCTTCTGATCGGGATTCCTCAATCGGGCTGGCCGATTTGTTTACATGAGCCGAATGCTAATCAATCAATATTTGGGTGTTCTGAACAATAACAATTCAAAATGGTTGTAAAAAACGCGACCAGGCACACATGTGAAGCGCTCTGCGAAATAAGCCCGGACTGGCTCATCAATTACCGCGCGCTCTTACACCTCTTGAAATATCTGTGACTCTACGAAAAAAAAAACAAGAATAATCTGGCACTCGAAGGCGATACAATCTGACCAGTCGAACAGTCACGAAACTGGGAAGGTCAGACAAGTACATGAGAGGTCAAATAAGGGAAATTAACAAAAAGTGATACATATTGCTCTATAAGCAGCTTCTGAGAGATTGATAAGGGAAGGCTAAAATCGGGTGCGTCAAATCAGTAATAGCCGGCTGTCAGCAAAGGTGTCCGTCTGGACGGACAGCTATCAAGAATCAATGCGCGCGCGTATCGCTCTGAGTCTCTCACTGCGATTGGCCGATGCAGACGTCCAGGGATTCACAAAAAGCGCGTAGAAAGTACATGTAACTAGGAACTGCATGAAATTAAAATGAAAAGGTGCACTTGCAAATAATTGCTCCCTTCGACCATGTACTTCTCGTGGATTTTCATTGAGAGCTGATCGAAGCAGGACCGGCACGATCGTTGAGGACCCCGTTTCGTCTACACGTTGCAGATGGCACCACTCTATATCCAACCTGATTTTCAAAACCTTCTAATTAAGGAGCAATAAGTCCACGAGTAATATAGAACTCGGTAAAGAAGGCATGTTTTAAAACTTGGTTGGGCCCGAAAATTTTTTTGTTCCGACCAGCTGGGTGTTCAAATGTTTCTTTAACTCAGGAGAAAGACGAATTTATGGGTTATGCCAGATGCCAGGAGCTTGACGTCTGATTACGTAAAAGATATGCTAAACAAAACAAAAAAAAAAAACTATTCGAAATCACTCTATGAGCTCCCTCTGCCCTTACTTTAGACCTCTTCTCTGAAGGGTACTCGACATGGCAGAAGACCTCGAGATGGTAGCTCTTCTTGTCTTGATAATAAATTGGAAGCTGAGAGTCTTGAATCATCGAGCGCTGAGCCTTCTATTATAATTCAATTCATCGATTCCATTCCTCCACTCTCCAGCACCCTCAAGGGCTTTTGCCGCTTGGCGGAGAACTTAAGAGGCTCATCTTGAGTCTGTAGCTTCAACACTTCCTTTTCAACACAAATATTTAAACAAGCCACATCCTTTGAAACAAGTCCGCCAAGCCTTACTTAGCCAGCTGGGGGTTCTAAATTGCCAATGCTAACTATACTGATACTCTTGATCAGTGTATAATCCTCAACCAGTACGATGAAATCACTCTATCAAGATAGCGTTTCCATCTTGCCGCTTCATCAGGAAAAAGTTCCTAGTCAAAGCTTTCCCGAAACTGCAATTGGTGTTTGGGGAATGGAAGGGGCAGATGCTATTCCTGGGCTTTCCAGGCGTGACATATGGCGACACAGCCGAAGCGTTGGCGAACTCACCGTTTTTATTACCATAAATGTGGTAACCTGCAAATAGAGATTCCATCACAGTGCCGAGAATGACTGAAAGCCTTATTTGGATTCTGCTTGAATGGTTCGTAATGAATATAGGGACACCTCTTCATGTCATGGCAAAGACGTTCAGGGTCAAGCGCATCGACGAGAAATTTCGTACTGACCATAATACAGCCACGCTAATCTTTCATTAGTGAGAATAGTAGAAGTTGGGATAAGCAGTCATTTTGTCGTAATTATAATCTGAATCCTATTCACTGAATCACACATCCCTGGAAATCTGGAAATCCTCAAGGCTTGAGAAGCTAATGATCAAATGGGTGGTTTTATGGGAAAGAATGACATGAATCTATTTCAATAGGTCTCATCCACACTGATCCCAAAATGGTTGTGCTTATTAAAGAATCACCCACATGTGAGATGTTGTTTACTACCACACCGAGTCGTTTCACTCGGTTACAACAATTGAATAGGAAAGTGCCTGAAGGGATATTGTAGCTTACATGCCTGTAGCCAGAGAAAAGGCCAGCGGGCCCCGACCAACATGTAAGCGTAAGAGTTTGTGAATGAACGCTATGAAAAGTTAATACAGTGGAGGTTATTAGTGACGACACCTGCACCACGTAAACTCGGGGATCAAATCTCAATCGAAAGGACCAACATTGTCCCTTCTTCCTTAGGCGGCCTGACAGGCCTAAGACTCATTAAAATCTCGATAGCAGTGGAAGTTGACGCTAAGCATTTTTACTTTACAAAAGCAAGTACCACTGCGTTCAGATAGAATATTGCAGAACCCGACCGAACAGAAAAAGAGCCGAATATCGGACGCCTCGTGAAAAATGACTTTATGTCGACATCGGAAAATCGATTTTCATAACACAACGACGTCGAGGGCAGTAATTACGATATGCTCGAATCTCAGAAAATCATATCGAAGGCTAACTGAGTGGATCTCTACTACTGGCTCTGAAAAACCTGTTCTTCAATCCTTTTTACTATCCTTACTTAACTAGAATCAAAACAACAAAAGTATCGATGTGAACAAGAAAGATGTTACGAATTCGTGCAAGATACTTGGTTGGAGAGGAAATAACTGATTGAGCCGGGCCATACCCGTGCAAGTAGTGCAGCAAGTCCTCCATAACACTAAGGATAGAGGTGTAAGCAAGCCTAGGCAAAATCGCTCTCACGAAGCGGGGCAGCATCTTTAGCCACTGTATCCTTCACTCGAGATTTTTTTGAGTTTCGTATCCTTCACTCGAGATTTTTTTGAGTTTATATGTTGGAGTAGTGCCTAGCGAAATGGCAAGCACGTCAAATAGTGAATCTTATTTTTTTTACCCAAAAGTGCTTTTTATATTCAGATGGAAAAGTAGGGGTTGTAAGACTGGCTCAATCCTCGATAAAAAGATCAACAATCGTCAGCTTCTGACGTCACTTAATTTAAGGCCTTTGACTTGATTTATCATCCACCAATTTCACTTCTATCCAATGCTGCCTCCTCACATTTCCGCATATTCCCGACATTATACATCTCAAAAGTTTCCTATACCTAAACCATAAACCCTGCGATTTAGTTAAGTCTCTTAAAATTTGTCAAATCAAATCTCAGTGTTCAAGTTTTTTGAAACTTGGCAAACACCTCCTCCATCGTCCCAAAATTCAGTGAGAGCGACTGCATAAGTGGTGGTCTTCCATCCTACCTATAATTATGGTTTGGGACGGCAGAGACTGACGTCAGGTGTGAAAGAACTCTATCGATCCACGTACTTAGTTATGGGCACTTAAGATTGAGATGACCTCGATGCAAAAGCATTTACACGGCGATTCGACACCTTTTTATGACGTTATGAAGGTGGATCGCATTAATTAGCAATAAGATGTGTCCCCAGTGAAAACAACCAATGGTACTGACGACGCTATGAAAAGTTCAACCAAAAAATCAATGCAATAACAGTTGCAAAAGCAAGTATGGAGATAGTAGGGAAGGTAACTACATTAGAAATACTCGCATTAATAATAATTCCATGGTTAATGTTATGTAGGAGCAGCCAATCGATGAGAGCAGAACGAATGGAAATGCAAACGTCGTCCGCCGGGTTCGGTCAACCGGCCGCCGGCCGACCACTACATCAGCCCAACCAACTAGTCGGCCAAATAGCCCTTTCTCGATCGATAAACAAAAGGCGATAACCGATTCGATCGATATCTGATTCCACTCGGTATCGGATGGTATCGCTCCATATGGAATGGCAAACAAGGAGACAATATAATTCCCCACATAATGTCGGCTAGAGTTATATTCAGCCGGCAAACTCAAAGATTGAGGAAGTGGTCATTAGTCGACAAAATGGGGTGGGATGAGCCTACACCAGGCCTTAATTCGTAATCATGAAAAAGCAATCCAAATGTCTGGCACATACCAGAATGTGCACCGTCTTGCCGCTGCTTAAAATAGGATGTTATCCACTCACGAACAAACAATTCCGACACCATAAAATGGGCCCAGAAGCACAAAAAGCTTGACTAGCTGGTTCTGATCCTCGATTGAGGAGATGCGGCAAATTGAATCTCCTCAATCGAGGATCAGGATTAAATATACAAAAAGCTAAACTTAGGTAGTATATT